ACAGGGCACGTGCATAGCCAGACTCCCAATGAACATTTGCTCTTTGAATCCTGAGGAAGATAAAAAGCCACTAGAAGCCTCTCGATTCTGGAAGCTGCAGTTTAAAAAAAAAGCAATTTTTTCCAAGGTCTGGGAGGGCATGCCTCAAAATGCACCCCTTCTCGTCTGATCCACCATCGACCTCCCCTTTTCTGATCCGCTGTTAGGAACATAGAACACAAGCTGAGAGGCTATTCCGACAGCCAAGAATCCTGGGAAGATCTGGATGACATCAAGAAGGTTTTCTGGTTCAGCAAGACCGATGTGTCAGGTAAGGGGGCCCCCAGTGCCAGCTCAAATGTGGCTGGGAGAAGCATCGAGGAGCATCTGGAACTACTGATGCCAACTCTCACTGGGGATCTGCCACAGAAATGCGATCCCGCTGTTTCTCCTGCAATGCCCTTCAACAATGTGGTGGTAGGATGATGGATGGCCACATTTCCCAAACTCATCAATTCCCCCTTTTTGGGAGGCAAAAGGGTTCACCATCTTTTAGGGGGGTTCTGTGTTATCTCTTCTTCCTTTTCCACAAAGGGGGATGGGGACACACAATGGGGGGAGTGGCACATGGGTCCTCTTGTCCTGGGTGCCAAGAGGGCGCCTTCCTCCTCTTCCTGCTGGAAACAACAGGTTCCTTCTTTAGTCCCAGAGGGGATTCCACAGAGACAGGGCTGAAATTGTCGGGATTCCCTCTCTCCACCCTCATACAGGGAGGTTGTCAGCCTAGTCTTTCCCTTTGGGGTTCTTTATTCCAGAATACATCACCAACAACTGGAAGCAAGACGTCTTCTTCGGATACCAATTCCTGAACGGACTGAACCCCAGGGTGCTGGAGAGGTGTATGAAGATCCCCTCCATTTTCCCCGTTACTCAGGAGATGGTCGCGCCCTTCCTTGGAGGCTCCACCACGCTGCAGAAAGAGCTGGAGGTGAGGAAGAGTGCCACAGATTGAAGAAGGCTCCCCCAGGGACGGGGGACTCTTGTACCTTCACACAGGGAGGCAGAGCTTGGACGAAGTCTGTGGATGTAAGTAGGAGGGGAAAGGAGGCTTTCCAGAATCTCCCCAGAGCAGGCCAAGTGGCTAGAGGATGCTAGTAAAGGTAAAGGTAAAGGTTCCCCTTGACAATTTGTCCTGTCATGTCCGACTCTAGGGGGCGGTGCTCAGCTCCGTTTCCAACCCATAGAGCTAGCATTTGTCCAAAGACAATATTCCGGCAGCGCAACTAGACCGGAACGCCGTTACCTTCCCACCGTGGTGGTACCTATTTATCTACTTGCATTTTGCATGTTGCATGCTTTCGAAACGCTCGGTTGGCAGCAGCTCGGACAAGCGATGGGAGCTCACTCCGTCTTGTGGATTCGATCTTACAACTGCAGGTCTTCTGACCTTGCAGCACAGAGGCTTCTGTGGTTTAACCCGCAGCGTCACCATGTCCCTTTTTAAAGTGTCAGTTAAAAACAGACACTAAAAACCAGTACTGTTACATCTACTCTACTAAAGCAAAAATAAAAAACAAAAATAATCTACAAAAACAATCTAGAACCATGACTCTATTAATTAAAATTAAAACCTTCAATTAAAAAACGTCCGGAAAAAGAAGGTTTTAATGTCAGTAACGTCGGCAGCAGTCAGATGTCATTTGGGAGGGTATTCCAAAGACCAGGGGCAGCTGCCAAAAGGGCCCCCTTTCCCTATAGTGACTCAACCTCTCTCTCACACACACATACCATCTTTC